GGATGGATTTCTCGGCGATTATTGCATGGACCGGATTTAAATTTTTACAGTAGCTGCACAACAGTATTATCTTTGGAAGTACGTAACCGTTTTTTGATTGTAAACCTTTTTTTTTATAAACAATTTAGTGCTCATTTTTCATGCAAAAAGTCGACTCATTCCTTAAAAAACGCATAACTTCCACAAAAATTGATTAATCAAAAAACCCCTACGTACTTCCAAAGCCAATTGTACATGGATTATAAATTCTTTTGATTTTTTATCCCACGACTCATACATAACGAGAAATCCGTCCTCCCGTGGGAGTGTTTTTACGAAAGCTGTTTCCGCCGATCGGCTCTGTCGCCTTCATTTTATACGAAAATGACAATAAAAAAATATTTTTTTGATTTTTTTAATATGTGTTAATGAGACCCTCTGAGAAGAAATTCTTTTCCGTTTGTCGTTCTTCCAAAATAAATTGTCAAAGATAGGCCTCTTTTTCAGGCTCTAGAGTGGTGTTGCCCCTTAAGTTAATATGTGTATTTCTTAAGTTTAACATTAAATAATTAATGAGTAATAGAAGTATGTTATTATTTTTTTATTTTCTTCGATCCTAATTTTTTAACAATAATTACATTTAAAAGGACAAAATTTACATTTATATCTATACGTTTGGAGCAAATATTCCTGCTACTTTCTTCTGAAAGAAAATTACTTTCACTAGATAATTTGTCTCTCAAATCATGTACATTTTATTTAAAACATTTGATTATGTCAATTGCGTAATATTTTCGAGTAGGTTAATTTACGTTGAACAACCTTTTGTAAATTTATTATAATAGATATATACGCGAAAGTACTTTGATTAAATTCTTATTTGAATAAACTATTATTCTAATACGTGTTTATTCGAAATTAGAAATAAAATAATTTGGTAAAGCGCGTAATGCTAGAGGTTGGTACTTAACACCGATGGTGCTCAGCGTAACAGAGCATAATAAGAACGGTAGAAACGGCAGCTAGTGCTGAGTATAACTACTAATGTCGTGCGCTTTATAAAACTTTTTTACTTCTAAATGGAAAACAAAAGCGACCCGATTTATTTTTGCAATAAAAAATGCCTGCTCTATCGTGTTCTGCTGTTAGATTCTCTTTTAGAGTTCCTGGCTTTAAAATAAGTTCAAAAATTGTGGTAAAAACTGGTGATTTTGCTCTATCAATTTTTCTTCCATTTTTATTTAAACATATTTGGATGCGTTTGATGTACAGTGGGTAACAAAAGTAAGTAAACACTTAGAGCTTGTGGCAAAAAACATTTGTGTCAAAACAAATATGTAACTTCAAGAAACAAATTGTATATCTGCTGAAACTACATGAAATAATCTATATAATTATGCTGATAAAATGTTCATTAGTGCTGGATTTTCTCGTAAAAAATAATAAAGATTCACGGTATGCAACGAATACACGTTCCAAAAGTAAGTAAACACGACCGGCATTGCTCAATAACTTTTTAATACTTGCAATTTTGCAATTTATTTATAAATGACACTTATAGATTATTTCATGCCGAATCTGAATTCGTAAACTATTTCTTTGTAGTGGTTATCGTTTTCGAGAAAATTTGACTTAAAGGAAAATTGTAAATTTTCAACTTTGGAAATGTTTCACGGTCTTATAGTTGCTTTTATTCATTTTATTTTTATACCAAACTATTCTGCAAATTCTCTTGAATAAAATGATATGAATTGTGATAAAATTGTAATTATTTAATTATGTTTTAATGCCAATGGAAGTGAAGAAGAAACCCAAGACTCGCCGATGTCTGCTGATGTTTTTTAATTTATTTCAACGACTAAGAGTTTCAGAAAAATTCTAA